TCATGTCCAATGGCCAAGTATTTTAAATATCGGTAATTTTGTTGTGATTTACAAGTTATACGCTATTGTATTGTATGTGTCATATTGCCATCCGCATTGGTTTAAATATTCAAATAGCTATTTATACAAAAATAGGGTGTTTGTTTGAGTCTCAGCCAGGTGTTCACTTTTTGGTCCCTATATTGATAAATTACCGGTGACTCCTCCAACCTTATGAATCATGAGGAAGTTTGATTAGACTGTTGGATTACTAAAGAGGATATTAAAGTGGATCTTCACTGCATCTGAGCACCACTAACCAAAAACACTATTTAATTTTAAATATTCAAAGCAAACTCCCCCATTCATTCATGTCTCTATGCTATTTTGTTACGAAATCACTTTGAAAAACATCTCTAGAATTTCTGACTGTGGCCATCATGAGTAAGGGCAAATGATTCATGTAGCATTTACTTCCTGGAGTCCATCTACCCTTATCTCAAGCATGCTTATAGGAGAGTTTGCTTAGCTGAGAAAACCCCTCCTCCTCTCCTACCCTCCTGAACACTCCTGGATACATGACAACATTTGACTCAAAGAGTTTGGAAAATGGGACTTTTTAGGCAACATACGCACATGTAAAATATAAATAAATTTTTATTACAAAAAAGATTAAAAAGCTGATCAGGTCAACAAATTTGGTACATACAGCTGAAATATGAATAAACATTGTATAGGCGATTTCCAAGAAACACGCTGACTTGCTGTGAAGTTAGACCCTCTTTCTGAGGGATGGCAAAGAGGGAACGACGGCAAGTGTTTCTTCAGAACTGCGCCTTTCATCAGGGGTAAGCTGAAAAAGGAGGATGGCTAGAGAGCATTCATCCAATTCCTTTGCATTACATATTTCGCCAAAATTTGTATGTAGAAGAAAGAGTAGGAGATTCTTTTCCCTGTGTATCCACCTCCAGCACCCTAGGGTGTACCAGGCTAAATGTGGCCCAAAGATGGAAGGGGGGGAAGGGGACACCCCCAGATCTCTCACACTGAGGTCACCCCAAAGCACACCGGGACCAAGTCAGGGGCTAGGTTGCCAAGGAGGTCTAATAGTGCCAGAATGTCTAGTGTCCAAGGACAGGAACTGCCACTGCTTTCAAATGTGATAATCAAACAGTAATGCCAGGACAACATTTGCCTAGGCAAGAAACCAGAAAGTACCTGAAGAAATGTAAAAAAAAAAAGTATTTAACAAGTACATTTGATATACTTTCCTATCTATTCACTAATGCTAGCAGCATAAGGATTAAAAAGAATCAATGTTGATTGGGAGAGTGAAGTTCCTCTTTAAAGTGGTTGTAAAGGCAGAAGTTTTTTTTTTACCTTCATGCATTCTATGCATGAAAGTAAAAAACCTTCTGCATGCAGCTCCCTCCCTCTCATACCTGATCCCGATCTTGTTCCAGCGATGTGCACAAGAGCTCTCTCTGCTCTCTCCCTTCTCATCGGCTCAGAGGCAGCATCGGGAGCCACTGGCTCCTGCAGCTGTCAATCACAGCCAGTGAGGAGGAAGTGGGGGCAGGGCTGAGCCGCACTTTGTGTGTTTTATAGGGAGAATGTCACCAGCACACTGAGGATAACCAATATGGGTCCATAATTTTTAATAAATGATCACGTCGTTACAGTAAGGCAACGTTTCGGAGTCTTGCAGGACACCTTCATCAGGCCTGTGTCTTATAGACAAACAGAGCTGGCTTGGGAGTGAGCATACAGGCATGCCACTATAGGAAGCTGCTTCCTATGGTGGCACACCAAGAAGAGGAGGAGCCAGGAGCAGGAAAAGGAGGATCAAGGCTGCTCTGTGCAAAACTATTACACAGAGCAGGTAAGTATAACATGTCTGTTATTTTAACAAACATAAAAAATCAAGTTTTACAAAAAATTTAACTAATATAGAATATAACATATTAGCAATAGCTTTCCAATTTAAAAACTGGCTAGGTGATAACTTCAAGCCTTTAAAGAAGTGGTTGAACAGAAATCAGAGGAGGACTGGACTGGGGGGACATTCAGCCTCCAGTCAGCACTAATAAAGATATATTTTGCTGGTGTCCCTAAGTGGTGATTTTCCTCCATTCAAATATTGATTACAGCAGGACCTGCAGTTAGTGACACATGCTGGCCTTTATGAAGCTACCAGCTCCATGTTCAGACCAGCATTTCCAGAATCAATGGAAAGTCAGCATGCCTTCCAATTACAGCGGTACTGTGGCACACGTTTTATGGTCATCATAGTTCAGTCCACAAAAATCTTAACCATGAAAGGGCCTGTTGTTTTGTCTCCTGAACAAAGGTTCCCAGTACTCCCCAGATAGACAGGTTAGCTTTTTGCATGTAGGCGCTGTGTAAACAAGGATCTGAATTAAAGTAGGACACCTTCCATCAATGTTTTTTTAAAAAAAACAGGTCTTGGACACATGAATTAATACCACAAGAGAGGCATTTGCCTGTCCGTCCATAGGCAGTACATGGGTGTAAATACATCTGCTTGGTCGCTATTCTTCTAATGTTTCACTCTGTATACAGTTTGTATCTCACTTCTTCCACACTGTTAAATCTTACTCGTTATAATTTTTCTTATTTTGTATTGCAGACCGATGATTAAAAGCGTGGGAAATACCTACGGGCAGGGATTAAGGGCAGGTGGGTGCCAATTACAATCCTTTTTTTTTTTCCTTCTTTGAATATCATGCTTTTTTGTCTTTTTGTCACCCACATTTTTATTTTTATTTAAAAAGTGTTTATTTATTTTGCATTTATAAAACAAGTACAATAACAGAGAAGGAGACAAATGATAAAAGGAACCCCAAACTAAAACATAGGAGTAAGGGTTACATGGAAAGGGGATGGACGTAGTTAACAAGTCATTATCAGGCCATGAGCCCCAATGAAGATCACAAATAAAAACATAACATGACAGATCAACAAACAGAAGCAATCAAGCACACATTTAGCCATACCATACACAACAGACACAATCACACACCAACACCTGTCATCTACATTTTTTTACATTTCTATACCTAACCTCCCAGGACTGAGATACAGATTCAATCATTTTATTGGTTTTCAACAAAAGGAGCTTACAAAACAAGCGTATAGATGAAACTGGCAAAAAGTAAAGGCATAAAAGTATAATGAAAAAAGGGTAGATAAGAACATAAAATATGTATACAACAGTCATGCTTAATATGGAATTATAAAGACAGGAAAGGAAAAAAAACCTTGATTATTACATATTACATAATGATTAGGTATAAACATTACATAAAGATACTGACATAATGTAACCAGATTTTCAAAGGAGGCAATGAAGTGTATGATTACGGGTGCATAGATTTCTAAAATAATAAAGACATATTAAAACAAAGAGGAGGCAGATGAGCAGAGTATATAATTTTTAATTTGCTTACAGTGTTGCATGGCCGCGCAATTGCCAGTTAAAGTAGTACACTGCTGAATAGCAAAAAAATGCCCCGGTCATGAAGGAGGAAAACTCTTCCAGAGCTCAAGTTGTTATGTTGAGAGATGATTGAGAAACATTTATCCACTACAGAAAATAGTGTTTTGTTCATCCACATAGAAGGAAAGTTCAATGTACATGCATTTTCAATGGGTAAATTGGTATGCACATCTTTTATAAATAAACCACGTGTTGTGCAGAGCACACGAGATCACCATTTTTACCAAACGTACCAAACAGATATACCAAAATGATTCCAATGGTATAATTAGAAAAAGGAGCAAATTAAGAGACGTTCAGTGCTAGAGTTTACATACACTTGAAGTAGGATCAAAAGGCACTTGATATTTCATTTGGTGATCATTATTAACTATAGATCACAAATATGTACTTCTAACACACCGTTAGAATGGAAATACAGTTGTGTTCAAAATAATAGCAGTGTGTTGAAAAAAGTGAATAAAGCTCAAAATCCTAATAGCTTTTATTTCCATACACACAAATGCATTGGGAACACGACACATTCTATTCCAAATCAAAACATGAAGAAAAATAGATCAAATTTGTGTTGTTCCTCTAAAAAAAATTGAAGAAAAGTGAATATTAGACTGTTCAAAAAAATAGCAGTGTTTGTATTCTTCTTTACAAACTCAAACATTCACTATATAAACTGAGAAATGTTTGAAGATTTTTCTTTCCTTTGAATCACTTAACCTCCCTGGCGGTATGATTATTTCAGATTTTTGGTGCTGAAAGCGGTACCATTTTTTTTGCATGGAAATATGTATTTTTTTTATTGTAGGCTGTAATTTTTAGGAAAAACTCACTGAAATCTGTCCGAACAAGAGTCTAGTAAACATCCCGGGTATGATAAAATTTGAAACACAAAATCATAAATTATAATTTAATAAATAATCATAAAAAAATAATAAAAAATAATAAAAAATTTAATTCAATAATATAATCAAACCAAAAACACTGAAATGTGAAAAAGAGCGCCAAGTTCGCACATTGCTGAGCTCAGTCGCAAAATCGTTTTCAGTGTCTGATGACGAATTTCCCCCACGAATCATTATCACTCAATTCTGCAAGTCGTTCTGATTTACTATCGCTGTTCTCTAGCTGATCTAAACCGCTTTTGACCTAAAGGGACACTTTTTGGACGCCATGGACATTTCTCAGTTTCCAGGCAGAAAGAACAGACAAAATGCAGGCAGGGCGCAGGACAAAGCACTAGGGACAATATGTATGTGAAATTGGTTGAGACAGCAATGTTTTACTATGTAAAATGTAAAAAAAAAAAAAAATGACATTTTTTAAAATTTTTAAATTTCCCGCCGCCGCCGGTGGCGGCGCCCGTACGTCCCGACGTCACAGGGACAGGACACAGACACCGGATGCCGGCATCAGCCGGAGGAGATGGCCGGGGACGCTGCAGGGGACACATCGTGGGAGCGCAGGGTAAGGTAAGTGAAGAACACATGCCGGAGCAGTGCCGCAGGGTAAGCCCGAGTGTAGCTCGGGGTTACCGCTTTTGGTACTGAAATGTTACCCCGAGCTACACTCGGGAATACCGCTAGGGAGGTTAATGAATATTTCGTTGTATAAGCACTGTTTCTGAGAACTGCTGTACATCTGTGTTGCATGGAGTCACCCAACTTCTGGCCCCTGTGAACAGGTATTCCAGCCCAGGATGATTGGACTACATTCCACAGTTCTTCTCTATTTCTTGGTTTTGTCTCAGAAACTGCATTTTTGGTGTCACCCCACAAGTTTTCTATTGGATTAAGATCCGGGGATTGGGCTGGCCACTCCATTACGTCAATCTTGTTGGTCTGGAACCAAGATGTTGCACGTTTACTGGTGTGTTTGGGGTCGTTGTCTTGTTGGAACACCCATTTCAAGGGCAGTTCCTCTTCAGCATAAGGCAGCATGACCTCTTCAAGTATTCTGATGTATTCAAACTGATCCATGATCCCTGGTATGCGATAAATAGGACCAACATCGTAGTATGAGAAACATCCCCATATCATGATGCTTGCACCACCATGCTTCACTGTCTTCACAGTGTACTGTGGCTTGAATTCAGTGTTTGGGGGTCATCTGACAAACTGTCTCCGGCCACTAGACCCAAAAAGAACAATCTTACTTTCATCAGTCCACAAAATGTTGCGCCATTTCTCTTTAGGCCAGTCAATGTGCTCTTTGGCAAATTGTAACCTCTTCAGCACGTCTTTTCTTCAACAGTGGGACTTTGCGGGGGCTTCTTGTAGATAAGAAATAATAAAATCAAGCGCTTGGTCAAGGGAAAAAGAGACACAATGAATGAATAAACAAGAAACATACTAGCTGCTAGCATAAAGGTCACCTCAGGACATAGCAGTATTAAATATATAATTAAATGCAGCGCTAGTATATTTGTGACACTCACAGAGTATATCAATAAAAGTACAGTAGATATAAAGTTCTCAAATAATAAGTCCAGAATATAGTGAAGGTTCTGTGACTCCTGTGGCGGTGAAGAGGAGTATAGATGTACACTAACCAGATAGATGAAATGCTTGCGCATGGAGTATATAAGACCTACTCCGGGTACTCAGGGTGTGAATCACTGGAATAGGTAGTAGTCATCTAAGCCACAGCCACCAGGTGTCATGGGTCTGTAATACATCAGGGGTCTCCTGGAATGCCGACTTCCACCACCAGAGGGGTTTTTTTTAAACCTTGACATCAGACTTAAAGTAGGCAGGAATCAGGTAGACTTTCAAAGAATGGGGCTCCCATGGAATAAACAGGGCCCCAGACAAAGCTTCTGATAGTGTAGTAACTTTAATGCAGTAAGTGATAAGCATACAAGGAAAAACACTTACATTAGAAAATACAAGATGGCCACCGGCTGTGTGTAAAAAGCCATGCGGTGTAGCAATCAATATAGTCCAGTAGAGGGCACTCCCTGATGCGTTTCGTGTATAATACACGTTATCAGATAGCTTGGCTTCACATAGGCGTCTTCTAATTGTAACAGTACTCACAGGTAACTTTACACCTTCTTTGATCTTCCTGGAGCTGATTGTTGGCTGAGTCCTTGCCATTTTGGCTATTCGTCTATCCATTCAAATGGTAGTTTTTCACTTTCCCCCATGTCTTTCAGGTTTTATTTGCCATTTTAAAGCATTTGCGATCATTTTAGCTGAGCAGCCTATCATTTTCTGCACTTCTTTATATGTTTTCCCCTCTCCAATCAACTTTTTAATCAAGGTACGCTGTTCTTCTGAACAATGTCTGGAGCAACCCATTTTCCTCAGAATTTCAGAGAGAAATGCACTGTAACCAGCATGTACAACATTTGCTGCCTTCCTTCCTTAAATAAGGGCAATAATTGTCACCTGTTTTTCAAAGAATGAATGACCTCACTAATAGAACTTCACACTGCTATTATTTTGAACATGCCCCTTTCAATTAGTGATTCAATTACACAGAATCAGCAGCATGCATGTCATGACTGTTGGGTCTGTTGGATTTCTATTACTCTACTACACCTGCTAGTAAATTATTTGCCATGTAGAAATATCATTTCTACCAAAAACAGTGATTGATCAGGTTAGTGATGTCTGACTGCTATTATTTTGAACACAACTGTACTTATTTCAGAATTTTTTTTTCTAATAGGTGGCATAAAATTGTCAGCATTTAAGATGGAAGAAGGATTTATGCTCCTGGAGATCAAGATTGCAAAAATGACTAATTTATACCTGGCAAGTGAGTATAAAGACGCCGAATTAAAGGAATCCTTTCATAAAAGCTGCCACGGCTGATTTTGTATTCTGCTCTGACTGACATGCTGACTTTCTGGCCTCAGAACTGGCAATAATGTTCATGTTGTGGTGATTGCAATCTTTCTTGGTCTACCTGACCTTGGCTTGGTATCAAGAGATCCCCGAACTTTCCACTTCTTAATAGGTGATTTAACAGTACTGATTGGCATATTCAAGGCTTTGGACATCTTTTTATGTCCTTTTCCATCTTTATAAGTTCCATTACCTTGTTAAGCAGGACTTTTGACAGTTCTTTTCTGATCCCCATGGCTCAGTATCTAGCCTAGTCAGTGCTTCCCCATAAGAGCTAACAAACTCATTAACTATTTATACACTGACACTAATTGCAATTTAAAAAGCCACAGATGTGGGACAGTAACCTCTAATTGGCATTTTAACCCGTGTGTGTCACCTTGTGTGTCTGTACCAAGGCCAAACATTTCAGGGGATGTAAACTTTTGATCATGGTCATTTGGGTGATTTCTGTTATCATTATGATTTAAAAAGGAGCCAAACAACTATTTGATAATAAATGGCGTCATATGATCATCATCCTTCAATAAAAGAGCATTTTTTGGCATGATCAGTCATATTTTCAATATCAATGCCAAAATTTCACAATTTCTGCCAGGGTATGGAAACTTTTGAGCACAACAGTATGTATATGCACATATCTGTGCATATGCATGCATAAAATGATGCCCAGCGAATATGATTTTTCAATTTTTTTTACTGATCTATAGTCAGAAATAAAAGTTTACACGTCTGTGTGTACAGACCCATTAAAAACAATAGGCTGCAATAACTTTCACACAAAATTTAACAAAAGAGATAATTAGGCTAGACTCATCCACCTCACCAACCGCTCCACCTCTGCCACCCCCCTCTGCCTATCCCTCCACTGGCTCCCGATTGCACAACGCATCAAATTCAAACTACTAACCCTGACCTACAAAGGCATTCACAACACTGCCCCTAACTACCTCACCAACCTGATTCCCAGGTACCACCCTACCCGTACCCTTTGCTCCTCACAGGACCTCCTTCTATCTTGCTCCCTGGTCTCCTCCTCCCACGCACGACTGCAAGACTTCTCCAGGTCCTCCCCCATCCTCTGGAACTCATTACCCCAATCCATCAGACTGTCACCTTCCCTCCTCACCTTCAGGCGCTCCCTGAAAACCCACCTCTTCAGGGAAGCCTACCCCACCCTCACCTAACAGCCATTCTCCTTCATTCCTCCTACCACTCCATCCCATCCCCCACAGCCACTTCCTCCTGTACCACTACCCCCTCCCTCCTAGATTGTAAGCTCGAAAGAGTAGGGACCTCTAACCCCTCGTGTGCTGTTTGTTGTTGCTGTACTGTTTCATGTATTGTCCTCCCCCTCTATTGTACAGTGCTGAGCAAACCCTTTGGTGCTATATAAACTCGATGTAATAATAATAATAATTAAAAAAACAATGGGCTGCATTTAGATCAGTAAAAAAGTCTAAATGCCTAAAAACGTGGTGTTTTTTAGGTGTCCGTGTAAGCTTTAGAAGAATAGTTTATATTCTGTCCTAACTTCAAAGTATTATGATAATAATATTTTTAAAATATTTTTTTTTATACAAACCAATACATATATTGAGAAAATAGTTTTTATACGCAATTTGTTTCTACAAAGTAGAGAAAAGAGAACTAAGGCCTTGGGATATTCAAGCTCCTTGCAGATTAACCCCTTGACACTGAGCGCACGCAAATATGCGGCCTCTCGGCATCTGGGCCTTGACGCTGAGCGGCCGCATATGTGCGTGCAATTAGAAAATACATATGTGCTGAAAGCGCGCGCCCTGCATGCTCTCAGCACATGTGTCCGTGACTCACGGAAAGATCCCGATCTCCCCTTTCGATCGGGACCTTTTCCGATCATGTGACCGCCGTGACAGCGAATCACAGCGGTCACATGACCCTAAAACCCCGCCCGCCTACTGGCTTCTAAAAACTCTTAAAGGGCCCAGGAGGTGCCAGCGCGAAGTGGTTAAAAAAAGATCACCAATTAATTAATTTATGCATTAATTAAAAAATATATTTAATTGTGCATTCATACTGTATAAAGCTAGTGTGGATACATGATTCTGGTTTTATGTTAGCTTCTGCATAACAGCACTGAGGGATAACAGCAGCATTGTAAGTAAATTAGACTTTGCTGTGCTAGGCTGTATTGTTAATCTAACACTGAGAACTTGCTGGCAGGAGGAAGGAGCAGAGCAGTTATTCGCAGTGCAGTCAGCAAACTAGGGTTAGGGCAGCTAAGCCCTTGAGAACATCTTCTATGATGAAACGCATTGGGCGGAGCCTGTGCTGATGTCATTACACTGCCAGACTGTTTGGTTGGCTTGTTTGTTTGCTATGCTGTCTTTTGCATATTGAAAATGTGAGTAGCGTTCTTTTAACATTAAATATGCTGAACAGTGTGTTATGCTATGGAGTCTCTGTGATTTTTTCTTGCCGAAATCCTGTAACATACTGAGTGGTGGTACAAACTGTTACTGATTCTTGCTGGTGGACCTTGGTTTTTGTTCCTGTGGTGAATTGATGTAAACGGTCCTCTGACATCAATGAGGGCTTTTAGACCTCTTTTGTTTTGAGGTCTCTAATTTTGGTAAGGGGTTGATGGTTTGCAATGGTGGTAGAGCTCATTAAGGAGATTCACAGAAGAAATTAAGCATCACCATTCATAGTTTATGGTGGACTTTTTATTGCTTATGATTTTGCACTTTTGTGGTGATTGCACAAGGTTTATACATATATATATACATACATATATACATATATATCTATGTTTTTTTTTTTTAATCATTT